AGATCATATTTGTGACGGAATTAAATCCCCTCAATTCTGATTATATGTATGGAAAACAAGGCCTGGTAAGTGAAAATGAAAAAAAAATAAAATTTGAATTATGTGATTTTTATTTCAATCTTTATTTTGTAGATAAATGGCTTAGTACCAAAAGCATTCTTGGAACTTTTGGAAGAATAATTTTCTTGTGGTATGGCATCGGAGTATATTGTTTCGATGTTTTGATATCATTTTGCCTCCTAACATTCAATTAAATCTGTTCGCAAATATTTATTCTATTCCTTTAGAAATTTAATTGTAATAAATACTCTCTTTGCTTCAGGTTCAGATATTCTTAAAATACGCATAGTTAAGCAGGGGGATTACAGATTGACAGTTGAGCTGCATGATATATACTGAATGAATAGTTCTGCAGCTTGCCGTATATGATATTGTAGGGGCAAACTGCGGCGCTAGTGTGCTTGTGTTTCAATCTACAAACCCCCTGTAGTTAAGATATTCATTAGATGACTACTATGTATAAAATCGTATTGTTGATTTTTAAATAACGATACAAATAAAACAGCCATGAAATGTTTAGAAAAATTCATATTATTTATGTCTGTTTGAAGTTCTACGCGTGGTTTTAATTTTGAAGCCGTCTGTATCTCCAAAATAGCAACAGACTTCTTTTAGAATCATTCGGATATCTATATGTCGAGTCTTATTTTTATGTATTCTATATTGAAGGTTCTTTAGATTGTATGACGCATTAGGAGGAGATAAATTTTGCAAAAATTTCGTGAAATAAACGCACGAAATCGTTCTGCAGATTTTCATTGCATTTCATGAACAGTCAATTGAGCAGTTTGGAGCGAAAATGTAATACAGAAAAGTTGCGTGGAAAAATGTCGATGATGAATGAACGGAAAAGGGATAGCTATATAGTGAACTATAGTGAACTATATAGCTATCTCTTTTCATTTGAAAATTTTCCGCGCAACTTTTCTGTTTAAAATTTTCGCTCCAAACTGCCCAATTTATGTTCCTCGTGATAAATTTATCCTAGGGATAAATTTATCCTAGGGATAAATTTTTTGGTCAAAATACCAAAATTTCTAGCAAAATTCTTACTCAATT